GGCCAGTCCTGTTCGATTTTGGTCTGTTTTATACTCATCCCTGCGAGAAAATACATTAAGGGCGCTCGGTTGGTTGAAAAAAATCGAAAAATAAAAACTCACCGACGGCGAGATTTTCTGGTGCGGCGGCTCCACCGGCTCACCTTCGCAGTTGGGCATTTTTCTTCGATTAAATTGTAGAAAACAGAATGGTGAATACAATGGTGGAAAAATCACACGAAACGGGAATCGAGAAGGGAGTTATCAGAGGCGATTTTTAGTTTTTCCCGCGGCGGCATCGCTGGGCTTTACCCGTGATTTTTAGCTCATCCACCCGTTATTTTGCTCCGATTTGGCCATGGGGGTGTTCAAAACTAAATTTTGAACGAATGAAATTTTTTTTATCTTTTTTGGCGGTCGGAGGTGGCTCCGGCACGACAGCGGGCAACGGTCGGTTCTTTTCTCCAGCGACTGGTTCTTCTTATCTGGCGGGGGGCTGGCGACTAGGGTTAGAGTTCAGTGTGAAATGAGATATTTATACCTGTCTTTCTTTAACTTGGGTCGTTCATCGCATTTGATCTCGACTGTCCAATCGTGTTTAAAGAAGAAATGAATCTAGACTATTCATCGCGATTTGATCTGAACCGTACGATCGTATTTAAAGAGGAAACGAATCTGCAACATTCATTGTGTTTGATCGCGACCATCTGATCGCATCTGAGGAGGGAACGGATCCGAACCTTCCACACGCATGGGAACAAATCGGGACCGTCCAATCGCGGGCACATGGATTGCCAGCGTGGCCTCCCGCGTGGCACCGAGTCAGCATGCCTTGCCACGCGGCTCGCTCCGATTCGTCGAGGCTGCTGACTGAATGGTCCTACGTGACACATTTTTTTAAAATTGTATTTTGACCCCCAGTAATCGATTTTATTTCAAAAACATCATCGAACCCAAATTTTCATCTTTTTTTTCTAAAATTATTTTTAATTTCATCATTTACCTATTTTTTTTTCAAATTTTACATTAAATAAAAATTTATAAAATTAAAATTTATATTTCTATATATTAATTTTAATTTTTAAAATTAATTTCGGACTCAAATATTATATTTTAATCTTTATTCATGTTTTTAATTTCACGATACATATTTATATATAATTTAACATATTAAGAATAAACTATCGAAATATAATTTAAATTAAACATAAAATTTATTTAAACTATAATATATTTTCATCTAAATTTTCGTTCTACTTATGGTATACTTTTTATACAATTAAATTTTCAATCAAACTTCTCATATATATATATATATATATATAAGTAAAACCGGAAATTATCATGTGGTAATTTCTTAATTTTTTGAAATAATTTTAAA